TGCAATTGTTCTTGAGTTCTCAGTATTCCTCATTGTCCGCTATGTTCAGCTAGTCCGGATTTATCCCATGCTTTTTCAGACCTAGGCCAGCTGGCCTTGGTGAGATCCCAATAGAACATCCCCATTGTCTTAGTGTGTGGGTGCACCCCTCGTGGTCCTGAGTTCCTTGCTCGTGCTCCGTCTCCTTCTGCCCCTGCCCACAGGTCAGGGAACCCTGATTGCTCTTCGAGCAGATGAGGGGGGGGGGGACTTGATCGGGGGAGGGGGAGGGAAATGGGAAGCGGTTGTGGGGACGAGGCAGAAATCCTTAATAAATAAATAAATTAAAAAAAAAAAAAAGAAAACCGCACATGACTGCAGCTCATGAGCAAGAAGTGAAGAGCCACAGAAGTGTATACAACCTAGCAATACAAGAGACATTCCACATCCTATCACATGGAACTTATTCTAGCCACAGCAGCTCATCCACAGAGCAGCCCAGCCATGTGGAAGGCATTATACACCCTATCACGTGGGTCTCATTCTAGGTATAGAAGAGAGATCGGCATTTGAAAGTCAATCAATGCAATTCACCACACTGACGGACTGAGTAGGAAAATTTGTATGAACATACACACACAATAATAATAATTAATAAAATTTTAATTGATGCTAAAAAAAAAAAAGAACTGTCTTCCACTAGCTATGTGTAAAAACAATTTTCCACTGTCAGGTCCTTGTTCTTCTCTTCTAGGTAAACAGAAAGACCTGCCTTGCTACACCTAAGGTTATCACCAGTTATTTGGCCAATGCTTATGTTCTAGGGAAAAACATTCCATTTAAGGCATTGACAGATATCAAAGTACATAGAATTACTACCAACCCAAGCTCCTGCTCAGGTTTTACTTTAAAACCAGAACAGTTGATAACAGATACCACAGAATTAATGATTTAAAGCCATGGGTTCCTTCATTGTCTCTACCACCTAAAGAAAAACCTCAGACCTATGCCTATAGAAGCTGCAGCATATGGTGTTTGTGATATCCAATCGAGAACCATACTGTTTCCCTGACTGTTTGCGTAGGGTGCTTGGTTATCTGATGCTATGCATGCTGGGAGAAGAAAAAAGTGGTGCACTGAAAATAAACTTTTTAGCTATTTTAAACCCTTAAAATATAGCATAGTACACTAACTTCCCCCTCTAAAATTCATTCCTTGATAATTTCTTTACTTTCTTAACTAACTTTCTCTATTAAGTAGTTCAACTAGTGTGCACTAGCCACCTTTGAGCTAACAGTTATGGATCTCTCTCTCTCTCTCTCTCTCTCTCTCTCTCTCTCTCTCTCTCTGTGTGTGTGTGTGTGTGTGTGTGTGTGTATGAAAACCCTTATCAGATTCATTATGGGACAGAATAAATCAAGCCCTCGAACCTGCTGGGGCTAAGGAATTGCTGGTTTTAAGGATATATATGGGAACACATGCAATTGGAAAAACTGATAGAAATAAGAAAGAGGAAGAAGAAGGAGGAGGAGGAGAAGAAGGAGAAGAAGAAGGAGGAGGAGAAGGAAAGAAGAAATATGGACAGATGGAACCTTTTCTCTATAGACTTCTTAAACCTGAGATATTTTTGACCCACCCCCTTTAGCTTATTGGAACACATTAAATTAAATGGGGATAGTGATAGAATGGAGGGAAGGGGATAGGGGGAAAGAGAAGGAAGATGAGGGTTGGGGAGAGCTTGTGGGAGTGGGATGGTTGAGATGGAGGAAGGCTTGATATGGGAGCAGGGAGGAAGATATCTTAATTAAGGGAGACATTTTAGGGTTGGTAAGAGGCTTGGGTCTAGAGGGGTTCCCAGGTGTCACTTGGGATGTCCGCAGGTAGGTCCCTGGGCAGTGGAGGAGAGGGTGCTTGAACTAGCCTTGTCCCATAGTAAGACTGATAACTATCTTGAATATCACCATAGAACCTTCGCCTGGTGACAGATGGAGATAGAGAGAGATACACATCAGAGCATTTGACTGAGCTGCCAAGGTCCAGTTGAAGAGCAGAAGAAGGGAGAATATGAGCAAAAAAGTCAGGACCAAGAGGGGTTAGTCCACCCACTGAGACATTGTGCCTGATCTAATGGGAGCTCACCAAAGCCAACTGGACTGGGACTGAACTAGCATGTAATCAACCTGGACTCTCTGAATGTGGATGGCAACTGGGTCAGACTTAGAGGCTAATGATAATGACTCTGGGATTTGTCTCTACTGCATGTACTCGCTTTTTGGTATCCTAGTCCAATTGGAGGTTTATCTTCCTAGGCCTGGATGGAGAGGGGAGGGCCTTGGACTTCCAACAGGTCAGGGTACCCTGTTCTCTCTTAGAACTGGAGAGGGAGGGGGTATGATGAGTTGGGGAGCAGAAGGGAAATGGGAGGAGGAAAGGAAGTGAAAATATTGAATGGTATTATTGTTAAAGCAATAAAAAAGGGAAAAAAGAGGGCACCAAATAACAAATGTGATTAGATGAAATTAAAGGGTCCCACACTGCAATATAAAAAATTAGTAGATAAAATAAAAACTTGTACCACTTGTATATCACACAGGAGACTAATATTCAGACACTACAAAACTCCCAATTAATAGAATTTTAAAAAAAAATCATTGAAAGGATTTTTCTCTTATATTCTTGCATGTGAACCAAGACATTTTTTCTAGCCCTGAATGAACATTCCACAACAGGAAAAAATGAAGAGAGCTAATAAATAATTTGTACACATTCAACACTCGTAGTTTTCATAGATATGCAACTTATGGCAGTGAAGCTATTCCACTTGACATCAGTCACAACAGTCACCGTGATTAGAGAAAACCGCAGCAAAGGCTGATGAGAATGTGAACAAAGAGGAAGTCGTTGAGAGTGGAAATCAGATGACAATCTGGACTCAGCCCATGAACATCAATACTGAATCTACACAAGTTAAAAATGGAACTTCAGTATGGACTGGATTTATATTGTGGGTAATTTCCGTAGTTCAGTAATAAATAGGACATGGTAGTAACTTTGCGAGTTGATGAATTTAAATCCTTCATGATTGTAATCAGAACAGGTTCAGATGTATAATATGGAAAAGCCAGTCCTCAACTGCTTCAACCACTGCAAGTTCCTATGAGCCTGTGGCATATTGTGTATTTCTTGGTCCACCTAATACATTGATGACTGACAGTGTTCCTCCTCAGCTACTCCACAAATTGTTTTTATTATATCTACTGAGTTTCTAGGTGATATTTTTCTAGCCTGAAACAATGATCTCTTTCACAAGTTGCTAACACTGAAAAAGGTCAAGAAAAGGTATCAAAGTTGTCTGATATTTGGCAAAATCAGCTTCTCTATTCCAGGACTCACCTAGATAAGGACAAGGCAATGTTCTGCCAAGAACAGCCAACCCCTCAGCTGCCCACACATGAACATGTATACCTAACTTTCTCCTCTCCTCTTCTGACTTTCCCAGAAAAAAGTTCACCAAGGCCAGACCTGGTCAGGATCCTTCATCTCCAAATCCTGCCCAGCTTGTGTCTGCAGAGAATAGAAAACTATCCTGACAATAACATTAGGCATTATTCACAATAGTTAACTTTCAACATCATGGTTCCAATGAGAATGTGTCTGATTTTCATAGAAAGAGAGTAAACTAACAAATGCAAATACACTAAACATTCAGAATACATCTATTATCACTTGAGGGAGTGAAAAACCACAACTGCTTACATTACAGAATTTCACCTCATCTACAGCAAAGGACTTTTCATTAGTATTTTTGTTTTGTGAGATTATCTTCATATGTTTCAAATGGAGCATCAAGCAAACTGATATGCACAACACAGCAAAGTGTTTCATGCAAGTGAAGTATCATCTAAATTAACATCCATGTGGCCCTTTGTGCTTTACCTCATCCACACACTCTTCAAATTCCTTTAAACCCATACAAAAACTAGGCAATTATGAAAGACTGATATTGCTTCGGACATGAATGGCAGCTCAGTATATTTGCAGTTTTGTACCTCTCACAACAGAAAAAAATAAGATCATAGAGTAAAACAAAAGTAGTATTATTTGAAGACGCATTTAAATACAACATCTGCTAAGCATTTTGTTCTTTCTTTGCTTTTTTGAGAAGGTATTTCGTGTACCAGCCTTAAAAGTCCTAGAACTCATTAGTAAACCTGGCTGCTCAAAAACTCACAGAAATTCAATTGCCTCAGAGTCCAAGTTCCAGGATGAAGGTGTGTTAAACCACACGGGGGTATCTGCTAATCAATTTTTGAAAAACAAGTGAAACCATGCTCATGAGGACTAGTGATGATGTCTTTGTGATTACCTGTTCCTATGTTTACTTGGAATCTCAACTGCCAGTTTTCTTTCTATAACACAGAGGAACATGATGAAGAACAGTCTATGAAGTCTTCTAGGTCTATGATAAAGTAGCTTCTCTAATGTGAACCTGATCTGGGGAATTCTGAACAGCCTTTGTGTGCCCAAACAGGCTGTCACTCTTGTTTGTCTCTTACTATGCATTCCTCCTTAGTGTCCTAACTCCCTGCAGAAGTAAAAAACACATTCATCTCTGGATTATATACATGATAACATGTGGGGAAAACCATGAATAGAGGTTGCTTTGAAAAGTAGACAAAAACCTATCTCTAGCCTGAATGAAAGAAAGAACTGGGACAAAAATATACATGAGGGCAGAGAGGCAAATTTCCCCTCATTACAACTAACATGGTAAGCATCACTGTCATATCAAACTAGAGCTTAAACAATAACAACTTTATTTCCAATATCTTGACGATGCCTTAATCACACCAACATGGTTGTGCAAATTTCATATTTTAGCATTGAGAAGCGAGACAGTCACAACCTACTCTCTACTATATCCTGCTAGGCTAATGTCCCAAACAAAAGGTCAGGTCACCAGTAAGGATCTGAAAAGTGCCTTTGTTCTATTTTTCTTATAAAAACTCTGGCCTTGTTTCTCCCAGCACAGACTTGGGAGCAACTCCAAAGCCTCCTCCAAGATGCTGGTGGTCCTACTCACAGCAGCCTTGTTGGCTCTGAGCTCAGTTCAGAGAGCAAATGCAGGTATGAAGTAGGGTAGACATTGCTTCAGTGAAATAGAAATTGGGCAACACACTGAAATACAGGACTGGGAGAAATGTAAAACGATAAATAAGAAACTGAAGTAAAGGATTAGGAAAACATATTTGGCATTGGATTTTAGTCTTTGCTTATAGTAAAATTTAGGAAACTATTTTACAACAAAATTGAATGACTGCATTTGTGAAATAATCTTTTTCGTGGGGGATGATAGATGCACAGAATCATGATATATTTGATAGAGGGAAGCTCAGTTCTCAAGGAGTTATGAGAAGCCAATAGTAAATAATGCTAACTTTTCTGTACAGATGAGAGCAAAAACTGAAAGAAGCATCTCATGAATGTTTTTGGGACAAGAAAGAATATAATAAATATGAAACTATATACAATCAGCTAGAAATATCAGTGAATAATTTCTTAAATTATTTTTGAGCACATGTGTACATGCAAAACTGTCTGTGTATGTGTGTGTACATGTATGAGTGTGTGAGAGATAATAAGGGAGACAACACACAAACACAAAGTCATACAAAGAGAGAGAGAAAGAGAGACAGAAAGAGAGAGAGAATGGTTGAACATTTTTTCATATTTTAGTCAGAAGACAGCATATTGTCAGAAAAAATTGCATTTCTACCATTTGATTCCAGGAACTGAATACAAATTGTAAGAGACACACTTTTACACACTATGGTTTCTTTCTGGGCCTCTTTTTCAATTTTAATAACCCACATGCAATATTCATTGTTCTTCACAAAGTATTTACAGCAATGTTTATACTTACTTCATGTATGAAATAACTGTGGATATATATCATATAACAAATTAAGATCATGAAGAAAAACATAAAGAATATGAACTAGTCAGCCTGAAATTCCAATATTAGAATGAAGAGTAACAGCAAAGGTTGCCAGAGATACTTAGAAACAAAATAGTCATTGTTCCCGATCATAGAAATCATTCTGGAAGCAGTATCCATAGCACTTTAAAAAATAAAATACTTCTTAGCAGATGTGAAGATGCTATTGAAATTCATTTGTATTTCCAGCTGAAATATCTTGTAAATAACTTTTCACTGCTCTTGTGCTTTTTTTCTAGCGATCATCTATGAAGACTCTTCTGCTCAGCTCTTAGGTAGGGCTAGATTCATCCTATATTAACCAATTCAGCATCGTTTACTTCTGTAATTATACAGTGCTATAACATCTCATAAGATTATTATTTTGTGAAGTTAGCATGTGACAGCTTACCCTGAGATATATAGGAAAGCTCCCCTGCATTGTCTCTAGGACCTAAAAGATGGCAATACACTGAAAGAGTGGGAAACCAAGCTTTTATGCCAGGAACATTTTGTCTCTTCCACAGATCGAAGCAATGGCTTGCATATGATGAGCATATTGAGTGTCCTCATTTAAAAATTTCCATAACTCTATGAGTTGGTCAAAGAATATTTTCCCATTGATTCCTTTTAGAAGTATATGATTCCATACTGGATAGATACGCAATTTCACAGATCTCAGGCTTTCCGATCCTTTTAAAATTTATTTTTCTCAACCAGCTTTGCACCAAAAGCTGAGTAATAGATACAAAAGCACTGCAGGAAAACTGAATGGAACATCTTTTAGTCTTTCTCCTATACTTTTTTTTTATTATCCACAGAGTTATAGTACCCAAAACAACATGGTACATTTAAGAATAGAGTATTGCTGTCACATTTTGCTACATTGCCTAATTCTAACTAATTTCATTAAAAAATCCTTTCAGTTTCATCACTTCTGTCTGAGAACTGTAATGAAAATAAAATCACCCTTAATGAATAAATTTAAGAAGAAATATTTGCCTGAAGAGTTGAGCCATAAGAAAGTTATTATGATAACTATTTTAAAAATATATTTCAAAAAGAATCAGGCTCATAAATTTAGGAAGGAAGAGCATTATGACAGAAAGAGAAAAGCAAGCTTCTTTGACATGGATCTATGTCCCTACAGAAGGAGAGCAAAAAAGCCACGGCAAAGGTCAACAGCATGAGAGACCCCCTCGGGAATCTGAGAATGAGGGAGGTGAAGAACCTGGAGATGAGGAGGAAGACGATGGAGAAGAAAAACCACCAGAGAAACCACCACATCATCCTCGCCCTCCTAAACCTGGAAAACCACATGGCCCTCCCCCCGAGGGAGACAAGGAGAAACCTCATCCTCCTAAACCTGGAAAACCACATGGCCCACCCCCTGAGGGAGGTGAGGGGAAACCTCGCCCTCCTAAACCTGAAAAACCAGAAGGCCCACCTGAGGAGGGCAAGGGCAGTGATGAGGAGGGCCCCGGCGAAGAGGGACCCGGCGGTGATGAAGAGGCAAGTAACCTCTAAAAAATGTCTGCATAAATAAAAGGTTCATCAGCACGACAAAAGTAACAAGGAATCTTTATCATTCTAAAAAAGATGTGAGATTCCCTCTGCTTGCTGTCAATAACGTTGGTTAATAGGAAGCTTCTTTGGGCCTATAGATAGGGCAGAATAGAGCGAGGCAGGAAAATAAACTGAATGCTGGAAGAAAGAAGTCAGAGTCAGTGAGATGCCATGGAGTTGCCAGAGGAGAAAGGCACGAGCCCCCAACTGAAAACTTGCTGGTAGGTCAGGACCTTGTGGAGATGAACAATTTAATGTAGATGGGTCAGTTTAGGATATATGAGGTATGTAGCAATATGTTTAAATGATTGACCAAGCAGTGATTTAAATTATATGGTTTCTGCATGCTTATTTCGGGGCTGAACATTAGGGAACAAATGAAGAACCTCTTGCCAACAGCACAGTATGAAACTCTGGAGATCACCACAGTCATCCAAAAGGCATAAATATCTAACACATCTAAAATTTAAAAGTCCTCGAACCATGATTTCTGTGACAAATGTTATTTAAAGTCACTCTCCATCAAATGTCTTAAAACTAACCCAGTTAGATATCCAAAAAACTAACAGAAATCTCAGGAAATATTTGTATTTCAGGCTAGAATTTTCTTCTCCCTGACATCATTTATCTGTTTATTTATTGCAGGCGGAGTAGAAAGCATTTACCTTTAATGTCATTTCAATGGAGCAATGATGTTGTAAGAGAACCTTCAACACTCCAATAAAATATTTAGCATGAAATTATTCTTTGTTGTTTTCTTAGTCTGTGTATGTATGAGTGAAATCTGGGGACTGTGGCCAAACCTATAGCAATGATAAACCTCTTTATTCAGTTTCATTAGAAAAGGTCCTACTTTCTCCATTTATGAATCAGTCCACTATCATTTGATAGACCCCTTTTTTTTCTTCTTCACTGAAGTTCTGCCCACAATTTTGCTGTATTTCCCAGGTATTTCTGATTTAACAGGAGACTTCACTGTTGTAATATGAGCGGTGGGCTACGTTCTGGCACCCGGCCACCCGCACGGCTAGCTTTATCCCTGAAATAATTACACAGAAACTGTATTGTTTTAAACACTGTATGGCCCATTAGTTCCAGCCTCTTATTAGCTAGCTCTTACATATTGATCGAACCCATTTCTAATAATCTGTGTAACACCACAAGGTGGCTTACCAGAAAAGATCTTAACCTGTGTCTGTGTCGGGTGGGTGAATCATAGTGACTGTCTGACTCAGCTTCTTTCTCCCAGCATTCTGTTCTGTCTACTCCGCCTACTCATTTTCTGTCCTATCAAGCCAAGCAGTTTTCTTTATTAGTTAACCAATGAAAGCAACAGATAAGATACAAGACCCACCTCCATCATTTCCCCTTTTTTTGTTTAAACAAAAAAGAAAGGCTTTAACTTTAACATAGTAAAATTACATATAAGAAAACAGATATCAAGTAAGAATTACAGTTACAATATTTATATCTCCTTTATCTTTTATCATAACTAAGGAAAACTATAACTATCCATTCTTTAACTCCATCAAAGACTCCAGAAGGATATAATACTACCTAAGTAATCACCTTCCTTGTAGGGCGTGGTCACCTGAGGATATTTTTTACTAATAAATATTGCTGGTGTGCTTTTCCCTTTCCCTTCTGCTTTCTTGTTCTCCACTAGAACCTTGGGTTCTGTAAATCTTTTCCCAATAAAAGCTGAATATATTATTATAATTTCTGTCTGCCTTCATTTATGCCGCTATACTTCACATAAGACATGATTTTCAGTATTAAAATATATAAAGAGATAAAGCTTCATAAACATGCTCTTAGTATGTCATGTGTGTTGTCTGACCAGAGCCCTATACAATAGCTGCCTAGGAAAACCTGCAAAAGAGTTCTTTGTTTCTTTTCTCACAGGTAACACTCTCTGTTCACTATTTACCTGTTAGGAAGTTGCTATTTTTGTGGCGGGTGTTATTTTGGGCACTCAAGTGTCAACCAATTCACATTCTTCCTCGACTTGGACAGTCCTATAAATACAATGGTTTCTTAGGGGCCAGATGTTCAGGATTTTCATCTCCCTAGAATTTTTATAAATGTGTACCTGGTCCTAATCAGCATATGAAAAATTTTTAAATATTTTATGTATACCTTAGAACAATCTTTCCATCTTAATTTTTTAGGGTTTGTAAATATTCATTCATTTATTCTTAAATTTTGTTGAATTTTAACTAGAAAGGTAAATACAAAATGTTTAGATGTTCCACAAGTTGAGGAATTAATAAACCTTCCAAATACTTGAACCTTAAATTTTAGACTCTAAATTTGTTATTTTTTAAGGCTCTATGCAAATTTTTATTATTTTAAGTAGATCATATTCTTCTTTTCCTTCTTTCACATTTTTTTTAATGAAAACTACAGTGATGCTCATGGAAATAGCACAGTGGGAGATTCATAGAAATGACATTGTTGTGTTGTTCTGAAATTTTGACACTTAAACCTTAAACTACTGTTAGCATAATTAATTGGATGGCCATGAATCTAATATGGAAAAGAACAGTATAGATGATATACCATGATTGGGTAAAATTTATATGTATAGACACATGCTAACCACATTTATCTACAATATTGACAAAGCTGTATGTCATACTGAAACCGTGAATTTTCATAACTGTTGGTATTCTAAATAATTTATCGAACAGCCTTCTGTTCCAGAAGAGTCCTCTGCTTACTAATTAACAGGATTTGTATGTCTAAACCAACATTATCAACAATCCTAATAGCTATAATATCTCCTTTTATAAGAAGAGAGGATAATCTCTTTACAGATGTTCCATGAAACTCTAGAATCTATAACACTAAGCTGAAAGCCATAGTTTGTAGTTGGATGCATGAGAGAGGTTAAAAAAAATCAAAAACTCCAATAATATATGACAATTTGTGAATAAAATATCATAATTTACTCAACAGGTAAAATATTTTCATTAGACAAATAGTTTTCAGGCATTTACTGCAATTACATTATTCTGAGGGAAAAAGCTAAAAAGACTAAATTCATGTAAAAAATATATTTCTTATATTTTTTGTCTTTAATATCTTATCATCATTATTTATTTCAAGCCTTCTATCTCATATTTAATAAAACTTTGACAATTTCACACATATATGCATTGATTTATTCATAACTGAGTCTCCTCACAATTTTCCCCCAAACTCCCCACATAGTCAAAACCCTTTCTTCAAGTCTACCTTCATATCTATATCCATATCCGTATTTATATCTGTCCAACTATAAAGCCTGCTGGAATATTGCTTGAAGACAGTTGCTCCATAATTTAACTAATACCTCATCCTTGGCAACATGTAGCCTAAAAATATAGCTTCAAAGCTGTCATACAAGTCTGTAGTAAGTACATGTTGACGTGATTGAGCCCTAGACACATACTCCAGCACATAAATACTTCATTTTACCTGCCATAAACTACATAAACTTTAAAGAAATTATGTATGTTTTCAGATTATAGTCCAATATAACTTTGTGTATTTTAACAACTCAAGTCAGCATCCACTGTTCTCTGAAGTCCATTTAAGAGTAAAAATCAGTCAGCATGTTCTTGTCAGTTTCTTGATATGTAATCAATTTCATGCCAGAAAGCAACTTTAGGGGTGCATGTTGTATCATGTGGCCCTTTCATAATGCACAGTGTGATCCAATAAGGTCAGCATTCATTAGGTCTAACGTTTAACAAGAATTATTTACTTAATTTTGTGTAAATTGATTTTGCCTTCATGTATGACTGTTTACTACATGCATTTAGAGCCTATGCAGGAGAAGAGAATATCTGGAACTAGAAGTATAAATCATTGTTAGTTACTATATGGATACTCAGACCCCAAACCAGGTCCTCTGAAAGAGAAACAAGTAGTCTTAACTGCAGATCCATTTCTGCAGCCCAAATGAAATATTAACACATCAGCTCTTCTAAATAGAAAATTTTATGCCCATACAAATACATACAGAAATTGTGTCATAATTAGGTCATCTTACTCAGTTTCTAAGTCCCCATGATGCATTGTTGTCTTCAAATAGCATCAAGGTTTTGATGAAAGACATGCTTATCCTATCTACCGATTAAAGTATACATTTTAAATTTCAGGCAAATATATTCTGCATCTCAGTTATTAAGAGGATGGTCAACATCATTTGTCATTCGAAAACTTTAGTTAGAAAAACTGATTATTACCTATTACGTAAGAATATTAACTAAACCTTTTAATGATATTCTAAAGCTATGTGTAAAGGCGTAAACGAATGCAGACAGATTGTAAAAATATATACAGCTTTCATGGAGAAATAGACTTACAGAACCACCGTTCCCACGGAGACCAGGAAAGCAGAAGCAAGCACTGCAAGCATGCTTGCCAGATTTATATGTAAACATTAGCCCAAGGCGAACACGCCCCCTAAGGGGAGGGACTTATCCCTACATCTCCCCCTTTTGTCTAAATAATACAGAACTAAACCAAATACAAATATATACAATAATAACAAACAATAAAAATAACAAACAATATTGAGAACAAAAGATTTGATAAAGATTCTATCTCAAGGAATCTAAATAATGTAGAGAGTAACTACAATTATATAATCTCCAACTCGGTCAAAGATCTGAGAAGGGAATAAATATTACTTAACAAACGAGATATATCCAAAATGTGCAACAATTGACAGAGAAAACTGACTCCCTGGGCAATTACCCAAAGTCTCGTTTGCAATGTTGAGTCAACCAATTTTGGCTAAGGCCTAACATAACTGACATACCATTATTAAAGGCAAGGAACTTTTCAAAACTATCTTATCCTGTCTTGGCAGGATATCACAGTCCTGTTTTATCCATTGATGCACACTCTGTATCTCTGTCAGTGGTTGAGGTATGGACATTTCTTTGCCCAAAGGCCAGTTCTGCCAAAAAGAAAGGCTCCATGTGGAGTGTCTTTGGTGCTCAACAGTCTCTCGGGAATAGAGCAGTGTTGCCAGGAGCAATTGTTTCTCACTATCATGAAACTCTGAGTTAGATTAAAGGCCATTTTTTACAGCTCTTTGAAGAGGTTGAAGATTATCTATCTATACTGAGTATAATCTCTATATATCAAAATAACCTGATTAGTCTAATTATAAATGATAAACTTAGATGACTATTAATCTATATAATTCTCAATATCTATCTAACTTAAAGACTAAGACAATAAACAAAAATAAAGACAGATAATTGTCCAGCATATGCTTCTAGAAAAATGAAACAGTTTTTGCTTATTATACTATTAAGCATATTACATGTATACCACACAATCCTACAGGTCAGACACTTATAGAAAGATAAAATCGACCTATAAATATATTAAACAAACAGAAAGGGGTGTAAAATACCCTCAGAAATAGATTACATAATGCTTTATTAACTTTGAATTTTCTTAATGCTACTTTAAAATGACAACAGCAGCAGAGAGACACTGGATAATAAAAAAAGACTTCTGGATTATACCAGCCAGTGTATTTCAAGGATGTGTTGACCCCACAATGGATGCCAAGAAACTTGCCATGTTGTGGAATTGGTTTTGCTCGTTTCCACAGGAGAAGAAAAAATATGAATAACATCAAAATTAATAAAGATTTGGTTTGAAAAGGATAAACCTCTTGAAAAAGGAATAACAGCTTATCCATGATGTTGACAATCATACAGGTGGTATG